CACTCTACCATGTATGTATATATATATATGCAGTGGAAACTCATAATATACCTGTCACCTTCTGGCAATGGTTTATTACTTGATTTATAGCTCATTTAGTGAATATTGATTTTCAGCTTGTCTTCTTGTAAAAGCAAACGACACAAACATACATGCATGAGTTTTCTGCCAATTTTATCTGTGAACATTTTTGCCGGGACAAATGCATGGTGTGTGTATAGATGTGACTACATGGTGAACAAATACTATTTAAGACAGGTAGAGTATTGGTACATATCCTGGATTAAAGTATTATGTTATGATTGATGTCCATTAAGTAATTCTCATTTTTCTAATAGCTGAATTACGGGTCTAAAACATATGCTAGTTTTTGAAAAACGTCAATAAATCATCTGATATTTTCAATCTTGTGCCTACATTTCCACACAAATAATAATATATTTGCAGTTGGTGTTTTCTACACTGCATTGGTGTATTCCATGTTTTCTACACACTATACCGTTCATCAATGTCCTATTGATTCTACAATTTATAGCCTTGACCTTCAGAACAGCCTCTAGCTGCACATTTATATTGCCAGTCACTAATCTATGTACTGATTTATTTTTATCTGATGTTGAGTTTCTCCAGTGAGAACTGTAAACCTCTACATCAATGTAAAGGCAGAGCTTAAACCTACTAGAGGTATTGAAGGCAATGATACCCAGTGAGTTTGCCTTGGTGTTCTTCAAAAAATACAGATTTTGTACATATAATTTCTATTCCAAGGTAATTTTATCAAATTTAAAGTTGAAAATTGGTGCCATCTCAACCCTATTGAAAGAAATTGGAATTTGTAGGACTGACATTTCGTTGAAAACCATTTCATACTTTCGCCTACATTCTTATTGGATGTCTTTGCCATGTCAATCCTATTACCCATTTTACCTTGTAGCTTTTGTTTACATTGTACGTCTTTAACATATCAAGCCATAATGCTAGTATTTATCTTGCATCACCATGTCTGCTGTACCTAGCCTAGTACATGTACCAGATTTACCTTGTATGTTTACAGCTTACATTCTTGCTATTTCAAACCCAATACCCATTTACTGTGTACCTTACATCCTTGCAATTTCAAACCTAATACTCCTTTACCTTGTACCTCACTACCTTACCATTTCAAACCCAATACCCATTTACTGTGTACCTTACATCCTTGCCATTTCAAACCCAATACCCATTTACTGTGTACCTTACATCCTTGCAATTTCAAACCCAATACCCATTTACTGTGTACCTTACATCCTTGCCATTTCAAACCTAATACTCCTTTACCTTGTACCTCACTACCTTACCATTTCAAACCCAATACTCCTTTACCTTGTACCTCACTACCTTACCATTTCAAACCCAATACCCATTTACTGTGTTACCTTACATTCTTGCCATTTCAAACCCAACACCCATTTACTGTGTACCTTACATTCTTGCTATTTCAAACCCAATACCCATTTACTGTGTACCTTACATCCTTGCCATTTCAAACCCAACACCCATTTACTGTGTACCTTACATCCTTGCAATTTCAAACCTAATACTCCTTTACCTTGTACCTCACTACCTTACCATTTCAAACCCAATACCCATTTACTGTGTACCTTACATCATTGCCATTTCAAACCCAATACCC